AGTTTAAGTTTAATAAATTTGCCTTTGTTTGATTTTTAAACTGTAATGAAGTGATGAGTACCCAAGTTATCTTGTTTAATAGCATTAGACATTTACAGGAATTGTATAATGGTTGTTCTGCTAAATAGCTATTTAAAGATTAATTTTTCAGAAACGCTGATGATTAATATATTAATTTAAGTATTGTTTTGATTTGTTTTACTGTATAAAATCATTCATCTTGTGAGGAGGTTGTGAAACCCCTTGAGTAAAAAAGCTAAATACTTAAACATCGAGATATTTTTTGGTATAATTATTAAAATTTTATTTAAGAAACTTTGCATTTAAACATGCTTATCCTAAAAATATCCTAGGATGGGTGACCTCCTGGAAAGTTATATCAACATGAAAAATCGTGAGGCTCTTAGGCTAAAGCAGATAATATCTAGATAGTTAAGAGTTTGATATGTTATAAATGATATCAAAGCAATACATCAGCCAAAGATAGGAACTGTGTCATACAAAATAAAGTGGTACGTCATGAGAGCCACCCTCTTGAATCTTATATATGACAAAGTGCTACATGGTGAGAGTCAACACTTAAACTTATAAAGACAAGCTCTAGAATTATATATGTCTGGTGGATGATTCTGGGTTTCAGTTACTTAAGTTGAGGAGATTGTGAAATCTCTTAAGTAAAAGAAGCTAAACTTTTAAATATCGATGCACCTTTTGGTGTAATAATTAGAATTTCATTTAAGTAACTTAACAGTTAAGCATGCTCGTCCTAGAAAAATTCGGGGATGGGTGACATCCTGAGAAGTTACACCAACATAAAAAATCGTGAAACCCTTAGCCAAAGCGAACAATATCTCGATAGTTAATAGTTTAGGCTATTACAAAGGTGAGCAAACCAATGAATCTATGAGGATGAGAAATCAAACTTACAAGTTATGTTGTGCCACAGTCGATGGGAGGAAAATAATAAATCGATGAACTTCAACGAAATGTGGAACATGTGAGGAGGACTGCGACCGGACTACTGAAGGCTAAATGAAGAATCGAGCATACAACTATTCTGATGAGAGAGTGAACAAGTGAGATATGTCGTGAGTCTCGCGACCTTGGAGGAAGAAGAGTAGGAAAATAAGAAACATCCCTAGGGTTGTATAATTCGAGAAGTAACATTTCGACTGCTCAATTTGTAATCAACAATGCCCATTCATCAAGTTTTAAAGTGGGCAATTTTTTCAAATTTGGCAGGTTATACGGTCGAACCAACAGTTTGTCCAGTTTTTCAACGGTTTAAGACGGAGCGGTTTTGAGGTTTAATCGAACAAGTTAGCCGACTAGTTCACGGTTCAACCGATTGAACTGACCAATTTGATCCAATTTTAAAAATCTTGGCTTTACTACAACCCCTTGAAGTACCCGATGATGGTGGCAAGGCTAACACCTAGTTTTACCCCCTTTTTTCCCTCAAAGGCAAGCAATTCTTACTCAGCACTAGAGATATTAGTCTAGTTAGGCAAGGTCATCCTAAACCCGTGAAGTTAAGGCCTTCAAATATCATTGAAAATTATTGTTGTTCCATTTAGAAAAGCATACCGTCTCCAAGCAAGCCTAAATTAAAACTAATAGTTTGAGTACGAATATTCGTAGAAATTAAGAGCCTGGTTCGAGCAGCTTCAACATTTTATAAAGGTGGTTATGAAACTGCTTTGAGAAAAAAAAAATTGGTGGTTATGAAACTGCTTTGAGAAAAAAAAAATTTTAAGCTAATATATATATATATATATATATATTACTCAAACATTTAGTTTTCCTAAATCTATCATAAATTAATAGCTTTGGCGGTAAAAAAATCAACTTCTTATCATAAAATTTTTTAAAAATTAGCAGCCAATCAAAATTATAATTACAATCTGAAAAATAAAATAATAATAAAATGTCTTAAATTGATCTTGAATTGCATGCACCAAAAGTAAAATTTATTGTTTTATTTTTAAAAAATTTATTGTAAGTTTTTTCGATAAGATTTTAATTGATTAACGAAGATATAAAATAACAATTGACTTCCTCGATAGTTTTATCATAAATTTTATATTAAAATAATATGAGGAGAAGCATCTATTTAATAAAACAATATTTAAATTGAAATAATAAATCTGAATGACATAAATTTGAAATCGTAGTAATACAACGGTAAGTAATTCCAAGCTTATTTTTGGCAAGTTTCTAGAAAGACCCATCAGTTGTGTCAAACGGCTATTTTTTCAAAAAGCCAACATGATCACAGCCGTTTATTTTAATTATCGACCGTTGGAGAAACGGCTATCGACCCGATACGAATCGTAAATCCGATTTTGGACCATCTAACGGGTTTCGGGCGGGAAATCCGTAACTAACTTTCATTTGAGTTACGATTTAATTTTATTTTAAATTAATTATAATTTAACACTTTATTTAACTAAAATCAACAATGAAATATCATAATCAAAATTTGATAGAATCAAAATGAAATTTAAATAATTTAATTTTTTATGATTTTTTATTCCATTTTGATTTCATCTGCTAAGTTAAAACAGAAAAAATACGATTTAAATTACTTTTTCATAAATTATATTTTGTTTGGATTACATTATTTTAATTAATTTTCAAACAATATTTTTTTCACAATTGTTGTAATATATCATTAAGATTATGGAATTAATGATATATAATCCCATTTTTTAAATTATTAGCATAACATCTACATCTCTTAACCATTATGAATGAATTAATTTTAAAGTATTTTTTATATATTAATTGATTTATTTAAATTTCAATTTTTGACTATAAAAAATTTTATTTCCCCAATTTATATTTTTTTATTTCTTTTTCTCACACACAAATCCTCATAATCGCTTATATTATCTCTAGATTAACATAATACTTTTTAAATAATGATAAAAAAAAACTATGATGCTACTACTTTAGCTAAGGAGTCAAATATTAAAAAAAAGTGATACTTTGAAACTTAGTATTTGTTTGGGAAAATTTTTTGCCTACTTTGCTTTTTAGGTAATAATTATAGATTCATTTTACTAGTTTTTTTATTGCTGCTTTCTCACTGATTTTAATTACATTTTTTTTATGGTTGATACATCGTCGAAAATTATCTTGATCGGGCACAAATCTCAAGGCAAAATCAAGTTGAAAACTTCCAAAATTAAAATTGGGATCATCTGAACTCCAATTTAAGCATGCTTATAATCGAACTGAACTTGTTAGAAATACGAACCCAACGACACCAAATTCAACTCCTTCTGAGCCCAAATGTTTTCAAATCAAGGACCCGAAGCATTGTTGGAAGGTTCGAACCAAAATATGGATTACCAAATGGTTTCTAAATGTGACATACTTATAGTTGAATCGAGCGGCTCAATAAGACAAATCCAACGAGCTCAGGATCATGGAATTCTGACATCATTAAGATCTTTAAATGTCTGGCGAACGGTCCATGATCATGAGATTCAACATCGGTCGTCCATCCAAACCACTCCTCATTTACCCTTGATCGTACTCCTATTTACGGGTCATACCACTGTAGGAAATATATAAATAGACCCCTCCTCTCTCACCCTAAGCCTAAGGAGAAAAGAGAGAGGTCAGAGATCGCTCTTGCCTCCTTACCTCCTCGACCACCGCCGAAGTTCCGCCAGACCACCACTTGAGCCCCTAAGATCCGTTAGACCATCACTTGAGGCCTTGAGATCCGCCATACCACCACTTGAGGCTTGGACTTCTGCCGGACCATCACCTGACACTCGGAGTTTTACGGTACCACCACTAAAGGCCCAGACTTCTGCCGGACAATCATCTAAGGCCTGGACTTATGTTGGACCACCACCTGATGCCCGGAGTTCTACTAGACCACCACTTGACGCCCTGAGATCCACCGGATCACCACTTGAGGCCCTGAGCTCCGCCGGACCACCACTTGAGGCCCTGAGTTCAACAGAAACTCTACTTAAGGCCCGGAGTTCCACCATACCACCACTTGAGGCCCCGAGATCCGCCGGACCACCACTTAAGGCCCAAAATTCTACATGACCACCACCTGATGCTCGGAGTTCTGCCGGACGATCACCTGAGGCCTAGACTTCTACCGGACCACCACCTGAGGCTCGTACTTCTTTCGAACCACCACTTGATGCTCAAAGTTTTTTCGGACCACTACTTGAAGTCTTGAGATCTGTCGAACCACCACTTCAGACCCTGAGTTTTGCTGGAACTCCACTTAATGCCCGAAGTTCTGCCAGACTACCACTTGAGGCTCGAAATTCTTTCGGACCACCACCTAAAGCCCGAAGTTCTGTCGAACCACCACTTGAGGCCTTAAGATCCGTCGGACGACCACTTGAGTCCCTGAGCTCGGTTGGATCACTATTTAAGGCCCTGAGTTCCGCTGGAACTCCACTTAAGGCCCAAAGTTTTGCAGGACCAATACCTGAGGCCCGGACTTCTATCAGACCTCCACCTCAAGCCCCAAACTTCTATTGGACCACCAACTGACACCCGAAGTTCTGCCAGACCACCAGCTGAGGCTCGAACTTCTGCCGAACCACCACCTAAGGCCCGAACTTCTATCCGACCACAACAACTTCACAATCATCTTTATAAAATGCTGAAGCCTTCTCAAATACACTAAGAAAAAAACATATTATTTTATTTTATTTTCTTTAAAACTATCTTTAACAAAATTTAATAATTTTGTTAAAATAATGTGGCTTCAGGCTGTCGTGATCCAAAATCTGTGATCAGAATATCTTAATTAAATATAGTTAAAATTATTTTTTTTTTATTTTATGTAATACAAAATTTGATTAATTCTATAAATTCAGGGGTCAGAAAAAAATTTCAATCTGTCAGCGTAAGAAATAAGAAAATTGCAACCAGAATTTTCTGGAAAGAAATCTTGAAATTTAATTTTATTATTTGTACAAATTGTTTCCAAAAAAAATTTTATTTATATAAATGTATTTAGTAAAATAAAAATTTGAAATAGAAATTCAAATTGTCAAAATATCCCGCAGAGGACGCTTCCGTACAACAAAAACTACCTTCTTTATTTATGGTACCAGTAATTATATAGGCTCGAGGGGTATAAATGTAAAATCAGATACGATTTCCTCGCCCTTCTATATATATCTCGATGGATTCCATCCTCATCGTTGGTCCGCTGGACGGCTCATCGGCTTCCTGAAAAACCAGTTGAGAGAGAGGGAAAGGGGTTCTCGTAACGTGAGCGAACAGAAAATGGAACGACGGACTTCTCAGCGGCGAAATGTGGCAGCTTCAATGCAACCCAAAACCCCCAGAGTCACTCCGAAACGCCGCCGGAGCTCTGCTCCGGATCATTCAACGGGCGAAAACGCCGGAGATGAGATCGCCGGCGATTTTTTCTACTGGATGCACGACGATCTTGTCGTAACCATCCTCTCCAAACTGAGTTCTACAGCCTCCCGGCCCTCCGATTTCATCAACTCTATCTTATCGTAAGTTCTTTCCCCTCGCAGATTCTCTCGGCTCTCCATCTTGAACAGATCCAAGACATTCTATTTGATGAACACTTTCGATCGATTCAATTTTTTACCAGATGCAAAAGATTTCGCTTTTTGTGTCTCACCAAACCAGTTCTTTCAAGGGCCTCTGTGAGAGTGCTTGCGGTGAAGGCCAAAAACTGGTCGGATTCTGCTCATCGATTTCTCTGGTGCTGCTGTATGGCCGGCAATATGCATGCCTGCTATATGCTTGGAATGGTAATTGAACAAATTAGTCATGATTTCTACTCATCCATAAACGAGCATTTTTACTCAAATAGCTAATTATTTCCTCCTGCCCAAATTTGCAGATCCGATTCTACTGTTTAGGTAACAGATTAACTGGAATATCTCTGCTGGCGAAAGCGGCGATGGGATTTCATGCTCGGGCGCTTTACTCTCTTGCCATTATTCAGTTTAATGGCAGCGGAGGTTCCAAAAGGCAGAAAGACTTACAAGCCGGAGTAGCGTTCTGCGCTCGCGCGGCCTCTCTGGGCCATTTAAATGCCCTAAGGGAATTCGGCCATTGCCTTCAAGATGGCTACGGAGTTCGTCAGAACATACTTCAAGGTCGCCGTTGTCTGATCCATGTTTACTACAACGAGACCACCGGCGAGGTGAGGACGGATAAGGAGCCGCACCCAGTCAATGTTTTCATGGCGGATTGGTTTGCTCAGAGACCAGGAATATTGGACAAAGAGGATCTCAGGCTTTGTTCGAACAAAGGTTGCGGACGGCCGGAGACTCGAATGTACGAATTCCGGCGATGTTCTCTGTGTGGAACAGTGAACTACTGCTCGCGCGCTTGTCAGGCGATTGACTGGAAGATCTTGCATAAGATGAGTTGTACGGCTGGGTTACTCAGACTAAGGTTTCCGGCCGTTTTTCCTGCCGTAGCTGCCGCCGGAGGTGGCGGTGGAGATGGTGGTGCTGTGGAAGAGGCAGCGGTTTGATCTACTTGGCTGAGGTTTTTGTTATTTCCCTTTTTTCACTCTGCCATTTTGAATGAAGTTTGAACTTTTGAACATTGAAGCAGTGTAAATCGGTTTTGGTGGGCCCAAGGCTTATGATATCAGCGTTTTGATGATAATTTATTTCTTCCCCAAAAATGATAATTTATTTTATTTAAGAAAAGGGTATCTTTTCTAAGGTAACCTAATTATTTAGTCAAAATTTTTTTATTAGTATTTTGAAAAAAAAATATACACACGTCGCATATGTGTAAAATTATTTTGTGCAGATATGAACACTATCAAGAGGCGAATCAAAACTCGTCACGTCATTTTTTTATGTGTATCACGGTTGTGTAATGTTGTACGTGTATCTGGTGATGTGGCACATTCTGATTCGCCTGCAGACGGTCTGATGTTCGCACAAAAAATAGCTCACTTGAAATCATTACCTCTTAATTAATAGTCAAAGCTCCCAACCAAAAGATCAACATGAGCTCTAGGGGTGTCCATATTTGACACGACACGAAAACCCGACTTGAACCCGACCCAGAATTTCGGGTTTGACCCAACTCGATTTCAAACCGGCTCGGGTTGACCCGTCGAGTTATTACCGGACCTCGATCGTCAAATTGCCAGAATCTAACCACTACCACCTGAACACCTCTCATCTCTTATCGCCTTGGCAATATTTTCCAACACTCTCACAAGAGGATGAGCTATAAGTGCTCGTACTCTTATAGTCCCACTTTTTCCAATTTAGGAAAATAAAAAATAAATCTTTGTAATTGATACTCACCTATTATAATTATTTCAATTGAGGCAAGTCATGTGATCTTTCGACTTATTGAAATTTTAACATAAAAACTCTAGTGTCTTTTGGATTATCTTATTTTTAGAAGACCTGTCGCAGCTCACAGCTCGAACGGCTCAAACCCAGTGACGATAAGCCAGACACCACTTCCCTCTCGGGCGAGACCGTTGCATCTTTCCCAGCGAAACATCTCCGACAAAATCACTGTCGGAGGACGCGGAAGTATTATCCGGTGCTTATACTACCTTTCAATTTATTTCTTCCCCAAAATGATAATTTGTTTTATTTAAGAAAAGGATATATTTTCTAAGATAACCTAATTATTTAGTCAAATTCTTTTATTAGTATTTTGAAAAAAAAAAAATATATACACGCATCGCATATGTGTAAAATTGTTCTGTGTGGATATGAACACTATCAGGAGGCGAATCAGAACACGCCATAAAATCAACATGAGTTGGGTCAAACCCATGATACATTTCCACACGGAACAATTTTACACATATGCGATGTGTGTATATATTTTTTTCAAAATACTAATAAAAGATTTGACTAAATAATTAGGTTACCTTAGAAAAGATACCCTTTTCTTAAATAAAATAAATTATCATATTTAGGAAAGAAATAGATTGAGAGGTAGTATAAGCACCGGATAATACTTCCGCGTCCTCTGACAGTGATTTTGTCGGAGATGTTTCGCTGGGAAAGATGCGACGGTCTCGCCCGAGAGGGAAGTGGTGTCTGGCTTATCGTCACTGGGGTCTGAGTCGTCCGAGCTGTGAGCTGCAATAGGTCTCTTCTGAAAATAAAATAATCCAAAAGACACTAGAGTTTTTATGTTAAAATTTCAATAAATCGAAAGATCACACAGCTTGCCTCAATTGAAATAATTATAATATGTGAGTATCGATTACAAAGATTTATTTTTTTTCCTAAATTGGAAAAAGTGTGACTATAAGAGTACGAGCACTTATATCTCATCATCTTGTGAGAGTGTTGGAAAATGTTGCCAAAGGCGATAAGAGATGAGAGGTGTTCAGGTGGTTGTGGTTAGATTCTGGCAATTTGACGATGGAGGTCCGGTAATAACATCTTCAACAACATCGATTTGACTTTATGGTAATTCAAAATTGATGGTTTTATGATGAAGTTGGGTGGTTATAGTATGCTAATGATAGTAGTAATGCAGGTCAAATAATGATGACCCACTGATAGTGGTCAAGTATCGATGGTTTGATGACGGATGTCGGGGGATGATTGTCGAACATAAATTATTTAAAGATGAAGATCGGGCAGCAACATTCAGATATTGCTAGTTCGATGATGGGGTCTGAGCAATAGCAATGGTTAGGCACTAACAACCCGATACAAAAAAATTGTGTAACGATAGCTTGATAGTAGCGTTTGAATGATGGTGGTCAAGCGACAGTGATCCAATAGTGGTGATTTGACAATAGTTTGATGGTTGTAGTTTGTAATTGGTTTGATGGCACTAGACTAGTACTGGTTCGATGACGATTGGACAATGTTCCAATGATGGCGATTGGGACAATGGCTTGATGGAAACAATCGAGCAATGATTCGATGACAATGATCACTCAATAGTCGTATGAAGCTTTGGGATTATTCGAGCCTCTAAGCTCTCTCGAATAAGACCTCCACTATCAGACCACAACCTGACCATCACCATCACTGTCCAACCATCACATGAATGTTATTGTTAGACTACCATCGTTAAACCACCACCACTATCATGGGGTTTTCATTACCAAGTATTACCATGAGACTACCATCGCTCAACTATTGTTGTTGGATCGGCAGCCTATGGGCATTCAACCACCATATCATTATTGTCTAACCACCATTTTACAAACATTGTTGTTAGATAGTTTCCATTGACCTCGATTGTCATTGTTGTCAGTCCACTTATATCCGACCTCCTACGTTAGATTGTCATCATCCATCTACAGCTATCTAAACACCTCTCATCTCTTTTCGCCTAATCAACATTCTTTATCTCTCTCACAACAGGATGAGCCAACTACCTCACATATAGTCAGATCTTTGCAACATATGCTCACCTAGTGGAACTAATTCTATTCGTCTCCTTTGTTGGATTTCCATTGTAAAAACTCTACCATTCCTTTCTCTTATTTTATGTGTGTTATATCTTTGCAGTATGTTAAGATTTTAATATATTGATCTATATGGTCATGAGTATTCTAGTATGTAATAAATAGAGTTTTATATTATTAATTTACTATACATATTATATTAGGGGTTACTCCAAATTTAAGTGGGGTATGAGTGTATGACCCACTTTAACCTCTATCTAATTTTTTCATTATTTATTTATGGTAACATTGCACTGTCTGCTAATATATGGAAGTGACATTATTTGTTGATTGGGATTAGAATGATAGGATTTTGATTTCTTCGATTCCCAACTTGAAATTCAACTCAAGCATATATATATAAGTTGGCTTAAAGTTTGCTTATGATTTGAATCTGTTCAATTTTGAGCTAACTCAACTCAAATGAGTTTGATTTTCATTCAAATTAATTCATATTTAAGCTATTATTTAAGCGAGCTCAAAGTCATCTTCAACTAATATTCACACTCTTTCAATATTTTTTTAATTCTTCACTGAAAAAAATTCTCGGCCTATGATCATATATATGTACAAAAAATTCTAGAGCTAATAACATTGTAAATCTCACTTTCTTCATATATCAAAATTTAGTCATAAATCAAATTATGATTTATTATTATTATTATTATTATTATTGCCTATGATCATATATATGTACAAAAAATTCTAGAGCTAATAACATTGTAAATCTCACTTTCTTCATATATCAAAATTTAGTCATAAATCAAATTATGATTTATTATTATTATTATTATTATTATTTTAAAGAGGAATACTTAATTACTTATTATATTTTGCAAAATTTTGTGTCACAATCAATTATATACTAAAAGGCAAATTAAAATTGGGAATTGGCTCTCTCTTTCAAAGCCCATTTTCTATATACATACAAATAAAGGGTGATAGTTTAATCAATACTTGTCTGAAATCTTCAAACAAATATTGACAGAATGTTCACCTAACCAAGGGTTGGTGATGATTTCTCTTTCAAGCACCACGTGGATCCAACGGTCCAAAATCTTTTCAATGAAAATGACCTCACTTAATTAAGGAGGCAATTCTAGGAATGTGTCAACTCAATAGAAGGAGCATTAGTTGGGTCAATGTGTTTGGTTGATGAACCTTCAATCATTTCATAAACTTTTATTAATTGGAATGCCCTATCTTTTTTTTCTTCTATATAATAATATTAATTAATTAAGGACATAAACATTTAATTCCATAGCAATTGATGACCGTTCAAATTCAAAAAACATAACGGTAACCTATCCCAACTGTAACATAAGGCTACTAAACGAAAATTATTTAGAAGAATTTATGATAAAACCATTTTCCTTATATTAAATAGGTTTATAATTGAATTAATGTTACATCTATTATTTATAGGACAAATAGTATGGCACATTTTAAATTATGTTTTTATATCT